AAAGACCTAGTTACAGTTCGAATCCACTAGATGCTCCACTGGAGAAGGAGGGGCAATCTCCTCCTGCTCCAGTTGGATCTGATTCGATGGTACAAAACAAAGAAAACAAAGTTTCTTAAAAAAGATCTATTTAAGTTTTCATCACGTCCTTAATAGAAGAGGAATTACCAAAGACAGCACTCAGTGGGCTTCTGGAGGATAAGCTGTAATAACATAATGAGAAGCACTTCCTACTTTAAAAATGGTTTTCTCAGCATGAACAGACCTTCAACAACCTCAGTGGTCTGAGCCATGTCTTCTCTCGTCCAGCTCCGTAAAGCTGTAACCATTCATCTTTCCCACTTTACGTTTTCTATCTGTGACCACTGTCTCACAGACCATTCAGTTCCTGATAACATGACGCTTCCTCAGCTGACAAAAGGTAACACAACTGAGCTCTGCACTGCCCTCCTTGGGACCCTGGGGCACCCTTCCCACCCCTCACTCCCACTCTGAGACGTGCAGGGAAGCGCTCCCTCCATGTCCCCAAGCTCCACTTCTGCTCACCCTGAGTCCTGTCCAATCCACACGCCTGGATCATGCTCACCATCCAACGCTTATTCTTCCTCTCATTCCTCTCCCCTGCTGGACTGCTGGTGAGCCAACACTGGTGGTGTTATTAAACCTCAACTCATTTATGATCAAAGCAATGATTCACAGACAAAACTCAAAACCCTTTCTTTAAGGGCACGGTTCCTATTGCTCTCAGCAGAGATTTGAAGCAACATGCTTTCACACCTGCCTCTGCGCTCCTGTCCAGTGACGCGCTGTTTGCAGGTGCCACGGAGAAGACTCTGAGCGTCCCCAGGAACCACAGCTCTGAGCCTGGCCCTCTGCTCTCTGGCGATGGCGTCAGTCTCTCCATGTCCGGCATGCTGAAGGCCGGTGCTGCAGTCACTGTGTCAAGTCATCTCACTGAGAGTCAGCCTCTCTCTCTGACCCCCCCACCTTTCCCAGCATCATGTCTTTCCCGAGGACTGGCCCCTGCTGACAACATGCCCTCAGTGTGTGAGGCAAAGTCTCGCCATCTCTGCCTCTAACGAGCAGCCGGGCTGTACGTCCTCCAAGACAGGCTTGTTCTTTAACAGCCTGAGTACTCTCTGTCCTCGTCACCGACACCACGGAATTCAAAGGCATCGATGCTTCCTCTGTCTTCCTTATTCACTGTCCAATTTCCATGCATAAGAAGGAAATGTGAAAATACCACAGCTTGGACAGATACACTTTAGTCTGTACACAGACATTCTTCAGCATTTTAAAGAAGTCCCTGACAGCGTATTTCTTAATGCCACACATTATTTTGATGTGACTGCTGGAACCCTGGGTACTGACAGAGGATCCAACAAGGACAGCGGACCCTGACCACCTGTTCTCCATTTACCAAGATATACCTACGGTCCAGGGGAGAAGCTTCTGGCTTTCTTGATGCTCAGGTGTAATCTATTAGTGAAGGTGCATTCTTTGGTCTTTCTCAAAGTCCTCTTCGCTCTCTGCAACGTTGAGCCATTTGTATACCACAGGTTGTTGACGAGCCTTCCTCCAATCCTGACTGCATATCCTTCCCGCTTCCTGAATGACATGCTCACCATACAGAATAGGTACAGAGAAAGGACAGAACACTGACACATGCTGTGCCTGATTTTAAATCACGTTTTAAAAACGTATGTCCTACCACAGCAAGATCAACAATCCAACTGCAAAATGGACACAGGACATTAACAGACATTTCATTCAGATGGCTAACAAACACATGAAGAAATGTTCAAAATCCCAAGCTCTAAGAGAGATGCAAATCAAAACAACTATGAGGTATCATCTCACCCCAGTCAGAATAGCAAAATTCAACAGAGCAGCAAGCAACAAATGCTGGAGAGGTTGTGGAGAAACTGGAACCCTTATTCACTGTTGGTGGGAGTGTAAAATGGTGCAACCAGTCTAGAAGATAGTATGGCGCCTTCTCAAAAAGTTGCAAATAGAAATACCATTTGACCCAGCAATTCCACTACTAGGAATATACCCTAAAGAAACCATAACCGCCACTCAAGCAGAATATATGCATACCCATGTTTATTGCTGCTTTGTTCACAATGGCAAAGAGTTGGAAACAATCCAAGTGCCCTTCAACAAACTAATGGATAAACAGTGATATATTCACACAATGGAATACTACGCAGTATTGAAAAACAAGAAACTCATGAAATATTATACAAAATGGGTGACCCTGGAGGACATTATGTTGAGTGAAATATCTCAGTCACAAAAGGACAAACATTGCATAATGCCACTGTTATAACACATGACTGACTTCACCAAAGACGACATTCACATGGCCAACAAGCACATGAAGAAATGTTCAAAATCCCTTGCTCTAAGAGAGATGCAAATCAAAACTATGAGATTTCATCTCACCTCAGTCAGAATAGCAAAATTTAACAGAACAACAAGCAACAAATGCTAGCGAGGTTGTGGAGAAACTGGAACCCTTCCTTATTCACTGTTGGTGGGAGTGTAAAATGGTGCAACCACTGTGGAAGGCGGTGTGGCGCTTTCTCAAAAAGTTACAAATAGAGATACCATTGACCCAGCAATTCCACTGCTGGGAATATATCCCAAAGAGACAATAACGGACATCCAAGCAGATATATGCACACACATGTTTATTGCGGCTTTGTTCACAATAGCAAGGAGTTGGAAACAACCCAGATGCCCATCAACAAATGAATGGATAGAGAAGCTGTGGTATATTCACACAATTGAAAAACAAGGAACTCATGCAATATTATTCAAAATGGGTGACTCTGGAGGACATTATGCTGAGTGAAATATCTCAGTCGCAAGAGGACAAGTACTGCATGGTGCCACTGCTGTAAAATGGGACTGATATCAGGGTTGTGGTAAGACTGAGAAAAACTGGATAAATTGTGTATACTGCACTGAAACAGATGCGGGAGAGAATAATTTAAAAGCGATGTATGATAGGGTATTATGGTTATCACAAGAGTCCACAATTAAGGTTGCATAGTGGAATGTACTTGGGGCGGTGGGAGGAGTGTGGGGGGATTGTGTACCAGGGAGAGAGTGTTTATTTTACTTTTCAAAGAGAAGAGCGAAATGGGGGGGGGCCTGAGCGGGGAGAGAAGTGCAGCAATGAATGAATGGAAATCCAAAATCTCTGTAAATGTTCATTAAAATTATTAAAAAACCAAAAACCAACAAACCATGACTGACATCAGGTTTGGGGGTAACTAAGAAAACAGGGGATAAATAATATACACTGCATTGAAACAGATTTGGGAGAGAACTGTTTAAAAGGGATATATAATTAGGTATTATTTACATGGCAAGAGTCTAGAATAAGAGCTGCATAGTAAAGTAGACTGAAGCAAGATTGTATAACAAGTTAAAAAACATTTTTTTTTCTCAAAGAGAAAAGCTAACTGGGCGAGGTGAGGAGCAGGTCAGGCGGGAAATGTGCAACAAAGAATGAATGGAAATCCAAGTTTTCTATAGTTTTTCATTAAAATCTCAATTAAAAAATTTAAAAAATCAATAAAAAGGTATGTCCTTTGTTTTATCCAAATGACTGCTTCCTGGTCTATGCACTGGCTTCGTATGAGCATAGGTAAGTGTGATGGGATTCCCATTCTTCCCAGTTAGTCCAGTGTATTAAAGCTTAAAATTGGAAGTCCTTGGAGGGCTGAGGTCTTTGGGAAATCTTTACTCCATTCAGATTCTTGACAGGAACTCAAGCACCAACTGAGTTCTCAATGATCAGTAAACCTGTCACATGACTTTGCTGTGTGAAAGGGAATTCCACGAGGGAAACTATGAGAATAAAAATATCAACTCCCGGCTACCTCCCATCCCCCTGCCCAAAAGGGAATTACAGGTAAGTCAAGGAGGGCCTATTACCCCAAGGTCAGGTCCGGACACTTCTCTGATCACACCTGTGAGATGTAGCTCTGGCCACCTCGTACACGTGGCAGAAAGCCAGCAGCAAACCCCTACGATTTTCCTCTGAAATATGTACACATCCCAGTCACGGTCTCCTGTCTGCTCCGGTAATTCCACTTGTGACACAGCTACAAGTCCTAGAAACAAAGACTGTGCCCATTGGGTTGGCAAAACACCTTCAGCACAATGCAGGTGGTGTCCCTCATTCCAGAACGTTCTGTGTATCCGTCCTGTTTTGTGTCTCTGTAGAATACAGAGGGTCTTTTCCCCCTTGAACACTAGAACGTGCCCTTCGGAGACTCACATGGAAGGATGTCTGGCTCTCTCCTGCCTGGGCTAAAGAGCCCCCACATACAAACACTGGATGGCGTGAGTTTACAGCTAGCGCAGGGCTGAGCCAGGGAGGACATCACTAGTATCTGCACTCCCTGACCTACAACCAACATTTGACAACTTAAACCAAAAACCTGCCAAGTGCATTTAATGAGCATAGTGGTAGGTGCAAATGTCTCTTTGATATCCACAGGTAATTTTGGGGGCATTCTTCACTAAAGAGCACCACTCATCTGGTTATAAAATGGTCAGTGCTGTATGTCCCACTTATCCTTACTGCCTACCAAACACATTAGCAAAAGCAGCCTATTCCTGGAGCACGAAACCAGCAACTGGTCGATTAAGCAAACTGCTTACCCTGGATACATGGGTATGGCTGGCGACACTCAAGTCCACACATGACAGGTGTGTTGTTCAATCCTGGTGCCTGTACTTAAGCTACAGTTACCGTGAACGACAGTGATATCAATGGTCGCGTCCCCTAGAATTTACTCCCCCCCCCCATAAAGCAGTATCTCTTGAGATGTGTCCAAGGATACAAAAGTTTACAAAGCATCAAAATATCTGGCTTACACTCTCTCAAATATGAAGCTTACTGACTTTCTCCTTTTAAAATCAAATGAAATAACCAGCATTAGAGACACAAGTACAATGCAGGAGAGCTCCCGCTATACCTGTTGATAGAAGAAATTCAGAGTTGGCTTATCTTCTGTAAACTGGTTCAGAAATCCTTTTGGCAAATAACGAATTCTCAATTCATATCTAAAAAAGCAATTCACAAGATACAACAATTAGAAACAAGTAATTTTTCAATTACCATCTTGTGCTACAACATTGCCAAATGCACTAAAGTAAGATTTTAATATTAAACTATAACCCACTGACGCATAGATTGCACCTGCACCCTAAGTAGCTCTGGTCAAGATGCTGACCTTAGTTGTCCAGGAGCCTCAGTTCCCAGTCATTGTCCACCACCGTTGCCCAGGAGCACGGCCATCCCAATCTCTCCCTCAGTCACCCTGTAGAAGTTTCCTCAAGTTTCAAACTAGGTATTAATGAAACTGCATGGCAAGTGCTTTGTATGCGTGAGGTTCAGCAGGACTGGTGGTCAGCGCGTGCTTTCACGGGTATTCCACAGCACGAAGGCCCCACTTGCTGGGGACAGCCATGTGGATACTGGGAAGAGCAGGATCTTCCAGTGAACACACACAATTAACTGGTGCATCTGGATGTCGGCATGGACTCAATGGATCCCCCTTAAGCCGGGGCAGATTCCTACAGTGCTCCATCCCACCCGCAGCGCCGGCTGCTCTGGCCGCTCCGGAGCCTCGCCTGCTCCATCACAGGCACACTGCGGGGGTGCCGCAGTGGCGCACGGCAGTCTAATGGACTTTTCCACAGGGACTTGAAAAACCGAGTTCTTTCTCACAGGTGCGCTGACCATACAGGTATCACCTCCGGGTTGGTGTCTGTGCATCTTTAGTTCACACTGCGTCAGCTGTCTGTTCTCATTTCCTGACTCTGCAATTTCTCTGTGGACGCTCTTTCTGCATCCTGGATCTGAAGCCCTTACCAGGTAAGGAGAGCTGTCGCTCTGTGGCTGCTCTTCATGCATCCTGGACAGGAAGCCTTTAATAGGTGAGGAGGGCTGTCGCTCTCATTCTGGGTCTGGCCTCACAAGCCCCTTCATGGTTATGATTTCAGGAATTTAAGTTCCTTTTATGCAATTCTTTTTTCTTTTTTAAAAGTTTTATTATTTTGTGTGTGTGTACCATCAAAGCGGATCTGACTGGCACTGGAGGAGACTGCCCTTCCTTCTCCAGCAGAGCATCTGGTGGATTTGAACCATGTACCTCTGGGATCGCAGTGAAGCTTCTTGCCACTGGGCCACCAGAGCTCCATACTTTCATGTAATTCTATTCATTCTTTTCCTTTTTAGCAAATTCCATTACATTTTGCTCACAAATTATCTTTCTGACCCAAATGTTACAAAAATATTTTTTTTTCTAAAAGTGATTTCATTTGATTTAAAAAAGATAACTGGCTCATAAAGAAAATATAAAAATCAAAACAATGTTTCAGTTGATGTTAAGAGTGAAAAACATCCAACACACACGCATACACACCCCGACACACATATGTTCACACACACCAAGCTGGCTAAGGTCCATTTCACCACCTAACAATGAGGAGACATTTTAGACTTTTGCCTTCAAAGAGCTTTCTAACGCTATATATACTCTGTAGGTCCACTGCAGATACTCTATACTGTGTCTTCTACTGAGAGAGGCATTCTCTAGCCTATATTCTCCTCAGGGAAGTATAGTGGGTTTCATTTCTTAAGAATGTAGGTAGTTCTCATAAGCAGCACTATTCTCCTCGTACAGAGATTGGGAAATAACGCCTAGCAAGACCAAGTGACTGATTCCATGGCTACACCTTCAGGATTCACACAGAATTTCCTAAAGCAAAGAGGATTAGCAATTAATGTTATTAAAAGACAGGTTCCCTGGCGGGTTCCCTGGGAACCTCATCCTCTTTACCTCCTATATGCTAGCATGTATAATAAAAATTTTGCTTTTTCCACTCAAAGTCAAGTTGAGGTTCAAAATCAAACAGTTGGCTCCACATTCATTTTCTTCACTTCCATTTAAACACTAATTGTCCTCACGCTGATGCTGGTATCAGTAAGTATTTACTGAGTACTAGGCATATTCTTGAAGAATGTGGCATCAGGACTGGAGGAAGACTCATCCACAATCTGCACTATGCAGATGACACAATTTTGCTCGCTGAAACTGAGGACCTGAAGTGTTTACTGCAGACGGTCATCAAAGAACAAAGTAGAAGGTCAGAGGAAGAGGAAGGCTCGTGGTCAGATAGACACACACAGCTCTGGAACACCAGGCTAGAGGGTCCTGGAGATACGAAGATGGTGGGGACAGAGCAATGTTCAGGCCGACTGTTCACAGGGTCATTCTGAATGGAAGTGGACTCGACAGACTAACAGCAACAACAAAGCCTAGGCGCCGCTGCAGTGGTTCGGTGGCCAAAGCCCCAGCTCCTAACACAGGGTTAGCAGGTCACGCCTACCACCCTCTGCAGGAAGAAAACGGGGTGGGTGTACTGCTCCTACCAACATGAGCGCCCAGGGACTCTCCTGAGTGACTTGACTCTGTCCTGAAGGACCGCTGCGAGTGACATGGACTTGACAGCAGTGGGTTTGCAGGGCTTGACTTTGTGTACAACAGGGGCTGTGAGGGAGATGTAGGAGGCACACAGGACCAGGGACACACAGGACCACAGGGCACAGAGGACCTGAGGGCACAAAGGATCCAGGGCATATAGGACCCAAGGGCATAAAAGACACAGGGACACACAAGGTCCGTGGACAGAGGACCTGAGGGGGACAGAGGCCCCGAGGGCACACAGGACCCGAGGGGGACAGAGGATCCGAGGGCACACAGGACCTGTGGACACATCTGGGAAAGCAGCAGGGAGCATCTTCAGACCCCGCTGTGGGGCGCTGTCAAGTTCCTCGTGTGGCACAGCAAGTCCACGGTGACAGAACGAGCTCCTGCCTGTCCTGCACCATCCTCACAATCACGCCTGGGCCCAAGGCCACCACTGCAGTTGGTGTTAGCCCACCCCGCTGAAGGGCTTCCTCCTCTTCTCACACCTTCACTTCTCCAAGCACAATGTCCTCCAGGGACCGGTCTCTCCTGACAACATGTGTAATTATCTGAGAACATGTTCTCACCACTGCTGCTTTTATTCAATCTGTACACAGAGCAAAGAATCCAAGACGCTGGAATAGAACACACAAAGAACGTGGCAGCAGGACTGAAGCGAGACTGCCACCTGCGGCACACAGATGCCATGTCTGTGCTTGCTGAAAGCAGACGAGGAAGCTCAGATGAAGAGCAAAGAGCACTGCCTTCCGCATGGTGCAGCCAGCCTGACTCAGCACGAAGCCAGCGCAGCAGCCCCCTCCTGATGACCAGAGCACCAAGACGACATCTGCTCACGAGAGCGGCGCTGGCCGGACACCGCGGCCTGTAGTCCATCCCTCAGTGGAGTGGCCACGGCCTGCCGGCCCCACTTCCACTCAAGTCATTGGGGAGGCTGCCTGAGCTCATGGCGATGAAGCTGTCTCTTTAAGGCACAATGTGTCACATTCGCTGCATATAGTAGCACAACCTCCCTGATGAAATATGTCAAGTGCCTGGACGACCATGTGCCACACAGTAAGCCTCACATAAATGTGGTAAGACTGTTATTAGCCAAGACCAGTCCTGTCCAGTCCTGGCTTGACCTCAGATCTCACGTCGTATTGCTTTAATAGGCATTTATTTACCTTATGACGGCGCTATCAATACATTCATTACGCCTGCCCCACTCGGCAAATGCCTCCCTGGATCTGGCAGGACCACGAGTCAGGAACACAGCCGTGAGACAGACAGCCGAGGGCAGTGCTCAGCACAGTCCACCATGCTCAGGTGTCCCAGAGAGCAGGCACCACAGCTGCAGAAGAACAAGTGAGAAACCCAGTGCAGCTCGAGGACAGGAAGGTTCCAGAAGACAAGGTGAGAGGATGAAAGGGTGTTCAACAAGAGCGCGCCAGCAGGAGAGCAACGCTCACCTCACTAGAGCCTGACGCCTGAGAGGAACCATTTCCCAACTGCAGAGCTCGATGGAAGACTGATTTCCAAGGCAGCCAAGAGGAAGCTTCAGTCCAGGAGAGGCCAGTCCAGGAGGGAAGGAAGACCAGGAGGACAGGAGGCAGCCTGCTGGGGAAGTTGGTGGGGAGTGGGGAGGTGTGAAGAGGAGTGAGGAGGAGGGGGGAGGAGTGAGGAGGAGTGGGGAGGAGGAATGGGGAGGAGTGAGGAGGAATGAGGAGGAGTGGGGAGGAGGAGGAGTGGGGAGGAGTGCTGTAAACAGCATAGAAGGAGCTTGCTCATGTTTCCCAAGGAGTTGCTGGTGGACCTGAACCCCCAGAGGCGCAGGCTTGGGTTAACAGCACAGCTCCCTACAGGCTACGTCACCAGAGCCTCACCTGGCCCCTCCTATCCCTACTAAGGCTTTGAAGGCTTGACCTTTTCCGAAGGTTATTACCACAACAGCAGCATATCCTCCTCCCTAAGTCATAATCTGCCTGATGTATTTTGCTCCCTACCTCTCCTTGTGTTTCACGTAAATATGAGAACGTTACAAACTAGAAATCACTACCCATGATCACAGCCCATGAGAGGGCCGTGAAGTGAGTTTTATCATTTATTTATTTTAATGAAGTAGAATGGAATGGAATGGAAAAATCTTAGACATTATGGTGTAAACAGCAAGACTGACAATGGCTTTATGAAATACCTGTGCGCGCACAAACACAGGCCGACAATACACAAACTGGCCCAACAAACGCACCACATCAAGTGGGAATCGACTCACAGGTGCCCCCAGCAAGGTGTCAGAGGCAGTGAACCACTGGGGAAGAGACTGCCCAAATAGTTCCGAGATCCACATGTCCGTGGCCATGTTATGAAAGCCATTATTTATTTTTTTTAGTATAAAATAAAAATGTATTTTTTAATAATTCATGCAAAGGGAGGGAGAAAAATGTGCAACAATGAATGAGTTAATGACTCAATGAATCAATAAAAAGTTCCTGCATAAACTGTCCTGTGACATGAGCTGCGACGTATCGGCACTTTCTTACCTCCCTGGATTCCTTGTTTCCGTTGTCTGATGTCCTCATCTCTTCCTGG